AATACCTAGAGTTATGAAAGATCCTATTTTTTCCTCAAAAACAAACAACAATCACTTCTACCTAACATTTTTTAAGACTTATCTGTTTACTAGACTCTGTTCCTTATGTAACTACTTAGTAGCTTGATGTCTATTTCTAGATTAAGAAAAAACAAATTTAGCAATAGTAAAAGCTCTGTACAATCGAACACATATTCTTTCCCTAGTTTTCCTAATTAGCTTCCTCTGCAAATCCCCAGTGGTAGACAGAAGAGCTGATTACAATTCCAGGCTGAGTGGTAGATGAAGCAACTCACTAGCCACAAGGCACTAGAGAACTGCTGCAAATGCCCCTCTGAAGGGGGCCTGATCCTTAGCTCAAACTGAACTTGCTCACATTGTCCAGTTTTCCAGAATATTAACTTTGTCTGAATGCATGTGTGCAGATGAGAGCAGGGGATATAAAAGCCCAGCCTGCTCTCTAGTGCAGCACACAAGATGTAACCTTCAATGAACCTACATGGCATTAGCAGTACCAGGCTTGTTCTTGCTTTCCCAGCAGTACATGCATACCTTATTATCTTTTAGTATAGATGAAGCACGCATGATAACAATGCTCTGGAGCCATTTGAAGCTTTTGGTAACTTTTGTTTTAGTCTGAAAAGTTGACAATACCTTTAGGCCCACTCTTTGGGAGTAATCAGCATGACATCTCTGACAAGGCATAGACATCTCTTCTGCAAGAGAATCAGGATCCCAAAAGCAACACCTTGAAAGTTTCTCAGAGCTTCACAGGCACTGTCTCCTGCAATTGTGCTTGAGAGTTTGAAACACAGATTTACATAAAAAGCTCACGTGGTGCATATGCTGAAGCAATGCTGTAAGTGAAGGTAATACCTTTCTGTGTAAGCCATAATGCTATGCAAATCTTTCTGAGAAGTCTAGTACAGAGGACCTTAGTGGAACCATACTCTGCTGAAAAACAAATGTGCTCATAAACAATTTATTTTTAATGGTCTTCTGCTCATGCTCTTCTCCCTTACAGTCTCAATGGTTATTCAAAAAAGTTTTAGACAATAACCCAACAAAACCTGCTATTCTAGTATATGGCTAAGTTCAGTGACCAGGTCAGAGCTTTACTTCTTAAGAGATCCATGATTCCCATATAATATCAGATCTACAGATGTATCAGTATTTAAATACAATAAATAATGTTACCTGTCAAAGATATCCTTAATTCCTTAATTTTTTTAACTCTTAAGTGTGGGAAGGAAATGTGCCAATTAGGAATGAAGATCATTAAAGTCATTGGATAAACATAATATTCTCAACGTTTATGTATCTTCCTTATACAACCTTCACAGTAATGCTACCCTACAGAATAGCTAAAATAAACTAACAACAAAATAACCAAGTTTTCCAGGTCCTCACTCTTCACTGCTGGAATATAAAACATAACTGTATGTAAAGCTTCCCTGCATATACTAAGACTATTTGGGAACTCTAGACACTGAGTACAGATGACAAATTACACTGTGAAACTATGCTTATTTTTTAAGAATACTACAAAATACCATGGTAGCACAAAACAGGTACATCCCAACAGTGAGGTATGCAAAAGCTATACCTGAATAAGTTGAAAAGCAAGGAAGGACAGTTTCTGCTTACACTTGTAGTCTTAACAAGAGATACCAATATTGAGGGTTCTTACACAGGACTATCCATTTGCTGTTACTCACACATCTGTGTATAACCCAGGACTGTCACTCCTGGCATGTGAGCTCTGTAGAACACACTCACAGTGTAACTCTTTTTACATCAATAGGATTGCTTTACAGCAAAATACTACCCAGAACTTACATATATATATATAAAAAATATATATAAAATATACATATAACTGATATATATATAAAATACTACTTAGAACTGAGTCCCTCCAATGTTGTCCTTCCACTACTGTTAAATATAATCCCATGTGATAAGCAACTGATACAGTCCCCAGCTTTTCTTTCCACAGAATTTATGGGGAGGAACACACACAACATTCCTTGGCTGTAATATTGCCTCTCATTAGATGTTTTCCAGCCAGGGGCTCTCTGGTCATCCAATTTCCCTTCCTCAGGTACCCTTCTCACTGCTCCCACACCTCAAAATTCTACAAGATGCCAATGAGAGAAATTTTTCCAGGTTAAGAGCTGCACAATGAGACTTTATGGTGTTCCAATTTAATTAAAGAGAAAGTGAGTCCAAGAATTACACTCAAAAGTAAATCTCATGCTCAAAATATTCTCATTTCAAAAAGCTTTATTAGGAAAAGAAAAAACAAGTGAGGATATGTATGCATGTGGTAAAGTCTATAAGGGATAGACATTTGCAGATTATTATGCTAAGTTTCGAGAATTCAGTTGAATCAAGCTAGGGATTAGTCTTTTCTATTCCCAGGAGTTCCCTGAAAAGAACAGAAATGATTGATTTTTCCCCTGAAGTGCATGATTTAGAAAAAAATTTATCTCTCAAAACCAAGCAAAGACAGCTGTTCGATCACATCTCACCTGCTGCTGCATGCCAAGGAGCAGAAGTGGGAGGGAAAAGTCACATGGGGACTGTACAAAGGGGGAAGCATATCAATATTTAAAAGCTCTAAGCTCAACTTGGATCTTATAAAAACTCATTTTTAGTATTAGTAGATTTCAAAGGTAGAATATATTAAATATAATGCTACAGAATTTCAGTGTGAGAACCTTTGATTTTAGGTTCAGCTGAGCAGAAGTCAAAATTTCTACTAGAGGTGCAACAGAAAATAAATACTACTATGGAGATCCCATACTTAAAAATTGGAAATAAGTACTTAAAGACTCCTTGGAATAAAACAACTAAAGGCAATTATTAGCAAAACATAAGTTTTATATTCAAATGTACATAAAATCCAATTTAAAATTGCAATAAGAGTACTCGGGAGAAAACCCATAGACTTACTTTATATGGAAAACAAGAGTAATACAAAGCATTTTTGATGTACCAATTCAGAAGCTCCATAAGTTTCTACTCATGTTTATAAAAATATAGGTTATCTGTGCTGAAGTATCAGTATCTTCAATATTCATGATGTATCATATGATAACATTTTCTTCACTTAAAAGACCAGCAACTATATATATAATGGGTTTCTTTTCTCATCTGACATGCCATGGTTCTCCATTTCCTTTTTTTCTTTTCCCTCCCCATCAAATAACAGAAAAGTTAGAGTTGAAATGGACCTTAAAGATAATCTAACTTCAACCCCCCTGCCATGGGCAGGGACATTTTCCACTTGACCAGGCTGCCCAAAGCCCCATCCAGCCTGGCCTTGAATGCCTCCAGGGACAGGGAGTCCACAGCCTCTCTGGGCAACCTGTTCCAGTGTCTCACCACCATCACAATAAAGAATTCCTTCCTAACATCTAATATCAACCTGCCCTCTTGGACCTTAAGGCCATTCCCCCTTGTCTTATCACACATGCCCTTATAAACAGTCCCTCTCCAGCTCCCTTGTAGGTCTCCTTTGGATACTGCAAGGTGCTATAACATTACTACAAATCCTTCTCTTCTCCAGGCTGAACAGCCCCAAATCTCTCAGCCTGTCTCCTTAGCAGAGGTGCTTCAGACCTTTGGTTAACTTTGGGGCCCCTCCTCTGTACTCGTTCCAGAGGTCCATATGTTTCTTGTTTTGGGAGCCCCAGAGCTGAACACAACACCCCAGGCCAGGTCTCACAAGAGTGGAGTAGAGGGGGAGAATCATGGCTGTGATTCTTTGGATGCAGCCCAGGATGCCTTAGGCTTCCTGGGCTGTGAGTGCACATTGCTGGGTCATATACAGCATTTTGCCCAAACAGTCCCAAGCCTTTTTTTCTCCGAGCTCTCTCCTCCCAGCCTGGACTTGTGCTTGAGACTGCCCCAATCCAAGTTCAGCACCTTGCATTTGCCCTTGTTGAACTTGATCAAGTTCACACAGGCCCAGCCCTAAAGCCCGTCCAGATCCCTCTGGACGGAATCCCTTCCCTCCAGTGTGCAGACTGCAGCACACAGCTTGGTATCATTGGAAAACATACTGGGGGTGCAAGTTCATGTTCTGAAAGCTTCCACTAGTTTTTATGTTCACTGAAATATTTCCAATACTGTTTACAGCTGGATTCTGTAACCAAAGTTTTATACACACAAAGTTACTGGAATCACATCAAGGCAACTGGAAAAATAACACTTAGCTGGTGATAATTTTGCTACAGTAGTTTACCCTCTTCAACCAGATTTGCAGATATCCAGTAACTCGTCTGGTACTCTAAGACACAGGCTTTGCATCTCCCATCGAGTCAAGCTGCCAATTCTAAATGCAAATGTCAGATGCTGCCTATTATAGGTACTTTCATCTGTCCTACAAATACCTCTAATAGAAATCAGATATTGAAGTGATACCCAATAGTGATATGGACATCAAAACACACAAAATAGAAAGGTATCTTCTGGGAAGATTCATGTACATGTGCATGATTTTTCTACTTAATTTTGGCATGTATATGAGGAGCATGGCAACTATTTGCAGAACATTTTTGATTTTAGGTCTCAAAAGCTACTGTACATACACAAGCTCACAATGCAGGTGTAGTTAGAGCTGTTCCATGCAATACTGGTGATAGAAAAAAAACAAAAACCAAGTTTTCCTCAAATGTTACTCCTGCATCTATACCTTAAAACCTAATTATATTCTTGATGGCATGCTGCAGATTTTTCCAGTTGGCAGCAGAATCAAACCCATGCACTTAAGAAGCTGCTCATTCTGAGACGTCAGTTTGATTTGTACAGTTTGAAGAGATTGAAGACCTCTGGGTACACTTTACACAATACACCTGTGTTTTACCATGAGCTGTTTATCTTGCTATCCCTAAGAGTAAGCAAGAGAAATTCAATGTGAAAGCCTGACAACTTTCCATCTTGTTAGCAACATCTACTTCTGTCAAGAATTACATCAGAATTTGCTTACTTACATCTAGTGAATCTTCATTGACCAGGATGAGAGACATACTCTGTGAAATGAGTCTGCAAGAGTACCCTGCAAGAGGGGAAAAGACAGTAAAACACAAGGACTTATTTTTTGGAAGACTATCTAAGGTTCAAGCTCAACCTTAAACATCTATATGTCAAATGACAATTCATTTTTTGAGCAGTTACTCCTACCAGGCAGGCTGCTGGAAACATTGGTGTATAGGACACACTCCAACATGACAGATCTACTAGAAACACGGGCTACAGTCTATCTATGTTTTCAAATAAATCACTTGAGATATTTTAATTAAAGAAAACACTCTGTCAACTGGATAAAGTGAAAATCACCTAGAACCCTATATCAAATTTATTTTTTTTAAGTGCACATGAAGGCAGGTTTGCCTTCAGCACATTACAGGAACAGATCTGACTGCACAGTTGCATCTATGCCAGGTGACTGAAAGTGCACACATTTTCAGCTGATGCCACTCAGCTCCCTTAGCCTTCACAAAACTTACACAAGCATTTTTTACTCCTGAGTGTTCAGAGTGGGAGGTTCTGAGTTTCCTCAAGAAGTACAGATCAATGACACTCACAGAGCCCCTACCAACTCCTATAGACATGAGCTAATTGGACTAGATTATTCTTAGTGTGGGACCGGGACAGGAAAGAACGACAGGCAGTTCTGTACATTTCCCAGGACACCAAAATTCAAAAGAATACTTCTCCAGAGAGAAAAAAAATATCTTGTTTTTATAAAAGCTTAATTACTTAAAGAATAAACAGGTTAATTCTGCTCATATTAACAGCAAGAGAGAAATGCAAACTTGCACTAGACTGACCCCTACATTACCCAAAAAGCTCATGCAAGTTCACTTGAGATTGGCATAGTGATGTCAGCTTCATAAAATAGTAGAGAATTAATTTATTTGAAGCACAAGCTTTTTATTGCTCATCTAAGTTACATGGGAAAAGGAAATTCAATACAATTATTTTTTATTTCTAATTTTTTTATAGCAATTACAGCAGTATAAGAAATTGCTATCAAATAAAATGGGGTCTTGGGAAGTCTCTTACTTTTCTTAAACGGAGACTGGAGGGTATTTCAGCATAAGAGTAATGCCCCAGTGAAGAACCACTGCAAGGCTGACAGATTCAAAAGCTGAACACCACAGTCACAGTGAGAAGATAAAGTGCCTCGTTGCATATCTTACAACAGCAAGAGAACAACTGAGGCATAAAATCATCTGTGGGATTCTTGGTTCCTTAGAAAGGCCATACTGGGTCATCAGTTGCAATGCAAATCATTTCCTCAGGCTATAGAGTTTTTATAATTGGGCCAGTTTTGTAGGTATAATCCAGGGTTAACACATCTGTATGCGTGACTTCTGTCAAGAAAGTAAATTCCTCTTCTTCCTTTGTGGAAAACATGCTTGTATCATAGCCACACACTCTCAGGCTGCAGGTTTGATTACCTGCAGAAGTTCAGTTTCTCCTCTTTTTCACAGCTGTATGGACTATGAATATCAACTGCAACCTTGCAAATACATGTTAATGAGCCCAGGTTTAATTTCTGCTTCAGAGAACAATACAGAATGACACTGATCTCACACCTGTTGGGAAAAGGATGAAATACATTCTAATGACGTGCAGCCTACATGAAAGCTTTGCAGACAGCCTCTGACTCTGCCTGTGATCAAATCTTAGGTGGTAGTATACAAGTGAGCAGCAAATCTCCAACAGTTACAGACTAAACACTGACTTTTTTTCTCAAGTCAGCTTGCCATTTTTAGAAGTTAGTTCCAGGCTAAAAAAAAACTCCCTTATTTTTATTGAGAAAAAGAGAATATTACAATTTTAAGTACTTCCCTCCATAACAGGGTTATTTTTTCCCTAGGCTAAAGCAAGTCTTGTGCAATAGGCTGTTATAAATTCAGCATAACTAATTCAAAAGGATTTTCTAGTAGCATTTGATTAGAACAGCAGCTGCAATAATGAGCTGTAATTTCTAAACCACTGCTCACTGCCTCACTTTACCTCTTCTAGAAGGAGCAAGATGCTATTCTAGAAGTCAAGCTGGAAGAAGAAAAATGCTGTGGAAAACAGTTGCTCTGCTGTGCATCTTAGATATCATGGACTCAGAAGAACTTATCCTGCAATTGAAGCTATTTTGCATCTTGCCATCATGTTAAACAAACATCAAGACTGGAATAAGAGAATGTAAGTCACGCCTAACAAGGGTTTACAGGGGATCTAATACATGACATACAATTTCAGACCAAGATGTTAAAATCTAGCACTACTACAAAGCAAAGTAGCTGGCAACTGTAGGAGTACAAGTAGTAACTTTAGACATTTCTAGCAATAGAGTTTTATAATAGTTTTGTAATAGTTATTACTGGCAATACTAACATGGCAAGCAAAAACACACTCAAAAATAAGTATTTCTGTCAATGCTTCTGAGTAAAATAAGATCAACTGCTGGTTCAAAGCCAGGTATAAAATGTCAACCCACACCTGCAAGTTGATATCTAGCTCTTTAATTTAAAAGTCTGACTAAAAGTCCATGAAGCAGATGAATCACGTACTTCTGGGACTTATTTTCCTTTAAGCGTCCTGGGAGAAAGATTGCTTGAACCAGAGTTCAAGATCATAGCCCACAGGCACATTCATACTGCAGGCATACAGAATCCAGCATCTGAGGGAAGAATGATTATCCTCTGTGTTTAGAGAGGGCACAAATGCCCTGTTTAAACTTCTCATAGGGATACAGGCCAGTGTGCTGGCATAGCTTGTCTGCTGAACTGAAATAAAGCACAGCTCACCAACAAGTGTTCTGATCTCTGAACTGGAAGGATAGGGGTCTGATGGATATACTGTTAGATGGGTAAGAAAATCAGCTGGATGCTTGTTTGTATTCAGAGTTACAGTTAAATGGTACGACACTCAAAAGAAAACCAGCAATGAGTAGTGTCCCTCAGGCCAGTCCTGAGACTGGTCCTCAGGTATCTTCACCAGGGACAGACAGGGATCAAGTACACCCTCAGCAAACCTTGAGAAAACACAAAGCTGAATGGTGCACCTAAACAACACTGGAGAGAAGTAATGCTACCCAGAGGGACTTGGATCTGCTTGAGGAGTAAGCCTGTGAGAACTTATTCAAGCTCCACAGGGCCAAGTGCAAGGTCCTGTAACAATCCCTGTACTGTTGCAGTACCACCTGTACTGCCACAGTCATAACTATCCATGAGGACAGACATGGGGATGAACACATCGAAAGTACTGAGAAGTACCTAAGTGATGAAAAACTGAATGTGAGACTCCACCTGGGGCCCCCAGCAGAAGACAGATGTGAATCTATTAGAGCAAGTACAGAAGAGGACCACAAAAGCAATCAGAGGGCTGGGACATCTCTCCTATGAAAACAGGCTGAGAGTTGGGGTTGTTTAACCAGGAGAAGAGAAGGTTCTGGAGAGACTTTTCAATATATATATAAAAGGGAATTACAACAAAGACTGAGAAAGAATTTTTACCAAGGCTTGTAGTGGCAGGTCAAGAGCCAGTCATTTCAAACTGGAAAAGGGTAGGTCTAGACTGAACATAAGAAGATATTTATTATGATGAGGGTACCAAGACTGGAACAGGTTGCCCAGAGAAGTTATGGATGCTCCACTCCTGGAAGCATTCAATGCCAGACTGGGTGGAGCTTTAAGCAACCTGATTTATAAAAGATATTCCTGTCAGGGAGGGAGCAGTAGGACTGTATCTTCAAAAGGTCCTTTCCAACTTCAGATCCAAACAACTGTAAGGCAGTGCTCACAGCTATCAATGCACACTCTAGGTAAGAGCATTCAGCTCAACTGTAGGGACAATTCGTGGTTCAAGGAAGGATACACTTGAGTAAACACTGCAGTCCCATTCCCAGAAAATATCTCTCTTCCTAGGGCAGTTATTGGCTGGAAATTTAGCAGTTCTGGTGTTCTGTGAGTGTGCTGAGCACCAGCAAATAAAAATCTATCATGGGTGGTTTTGTCTCCCTGAAAGGGAAAGATGACCCAGACTTTGAAGAAAAGGATGAATTGGCAAGAACACAGTTAAGCCTTCTACAGTTATTTGCAGGTCATGCTTAAAAATGCTTCAGAGCCTGCAAGACCCATTTTCAAGAGCCCAAGTTCAAATGACTGAACTTCAGTATTAAAGCTTATGATTAACACTCTCCTCACTGGCAGAACTATTGACTAGCACATGACTGAGTTAAAGGCATTCAGCCACCCCATGGAAGGGCAACCATTACTCTCCAGAGAAGCCAAGAACACAATCCAGAGACAAAGACATATGCAAATTCTGAAAACCAATGCATCAAGAGGAAACAGGAAGAACAAAGTACTTCAGCTGCTTGACAGAGCTGCCAAGAGCTGAAATATCCCTCAATACACATGCATGTCTATACAGCAAGCAAGAGCCAATAAGCATAACCTCCAAACACAATGAGAAAGTGAAAATATTTTTTACTCCCCAGATAGCATATTTATACCTGAAACATATAGTGCACACGTGGATTGGGTTTTAAGTTGAAGGTTTATTACAGTTTTATTGGGTTACACACAAAACCTGGAAGGGTGCCACATGTTTCAAGCCAACTTGAACATGAAGCTAATTAAGTTAGAGTTTTACTACCAAACTGTACTTTAAACTAAGGGATAACTTAGAAGTTTTAAGTGAGATTGTTATTCTTCTCGAATTGCTATAATAAAAGAAACAACAAACTAACAGTTTTAGAGAAAGCTAGAAGTTAGACTCCTTCATAGTCTTCAGAATAAGCCCATTTACTGATGTTCAAGGCAGCTGCTGTTGGTTAATATATCAACTCATTTCAGGTACTTACATCAAAATGTGTAGCTACATATTTTTAATTAGTCAAAAGATGGTGTTTCCCTTCTCAAGTTAACTACTGCTTGTAAAGAAAGGAAAATCTGCAGATTGTGATTCAAACCAGATAACCAGTCTTTAAACAAATTGTTTACTTAGGCCATCACCTGTATTTCTACTACAGCTGTATCAGGTGAGCAAGTTATTTCACCTCTTGGTATCACCTTCAACATACAAAGACACATGAAATTTGATCTGGTTTTGAGAAGCATGCAAATTCTACACAGTCAAGCAGACTGTACTCTGAAATTTCACTGAGTCAACCAAAACAGAAAATAAAATTTAAAAAAACCCGCAAGACAAACCAGACTTCAAAGAAAAGAGGCAAATGTCCGAAACTTCCCTAAAAATAATCTAAGTTGATTTGCAGAGCATCATTGATAGAGAATCTTGAATGAGTTTAAGAAAGCAACCTATGCTGTTAAAGTTACTTTTAACCTACACCCATACATCTAAACAGACTAATCTGCAAACCTAAATACAATTGTGGAACCTTAACAGCATATGCTGCCTTCTGTTAAAAGAGCTATTTCTTCAGTCTTTTTGAGCTCATATTGACTTCAAGACTCCCTAATTACACAAATAACATGAGCAATTAAGCTTTTTACATTTAGAACTGCACACAGACAGGTCTGGATGTATTTCAGGTATTCCTGGCAGAATTAAAATGCTCTTTAACTGCATTTACTTAGGTTAGATGTCAGATTACAAGAGTGCAACTCTGTCTCTTCCCCTTGCTGGGCAGACCTACCAGTGACAGGGAGAAAAATTATCAAAAAGAAGACAAGAGCATCATGGCATTCTATTGCCAAAGATGAGACATTTGGGAGGTGTGGCATGACAAAGCAGGTGCTTACATCAGGATACATCCCTTTACCAACTCTTTACTATATACTAACAGATGTGCCATAAGGGGACAGCAAGGGCAGTTATTTAAGCTTGAATAATCCACCTGCATTTACCAACATGGTCTGGAAGATGCTCTAAACTATACATGTTTGGCATTATCGTATTTCCCATTGTATCCCAAACTTGATTCAAAGGCAGTCAGTAAAAAAATAAAAGCTCTAAAACCGTTTCTGAAACATTAGCCTCCTGGAGTTCTCCTGTTACCATCAGAAAGCAGAGTTACATATATTCACTCCATGAGAACTGCATTTAACCAAGAGCAGAAGGGTCCCTTTTGCCTTAAAACAACTACAGTAATAAAAAAGAATATAGCCTGACAGCCATAGTGAACACTTCACTATAAAATCCTTTCTCCAAGGCTGTGCCCTGCTACTGAGGATCCATTCTATAAGCAGCAAGTCCAATTCTATTTAAAAACACACATAGCACATCTTGCATGTGACCTCCTACTTATCAGAAACACATTCAGAGTAACCAGAATGATAGATACCTATATTGAGAGCTGTTTCCTGTTTGTCACCGGTCAGAATCCATATCTTAATTTCTGCCTTTATTAGTGTGGCTATTGTTTCTGGAACACCTGCTTGCAGGCGGTCTTCAATGGCTGTAGCTCCAAGAAGCAGCAAATCCTGGGGAAAACAAAAAGAAAACATAAACATTCCCTCAAATTATTTTAAGATAAACATCTGTTTGGAACATACCCCAGAAGAGGAATTAAGACTGCATGAGACAGCATCTCACTGTTAATACTGCACTGTGATAAGCAATATACACCACAGTAAATTTCTAGTGTGGCTATTCTACTTCCTCTGCATATAGTTCACATTTCAAGAGGTACAGAATGGAACAGAGTGGTTTTGATTAGAAAGATGGCAACATTTCAAGAATAATTGATTGGAGTTATAAAAGGCCAAAATTAGCCTATAGATGAACATATATACTAGACTGTTCACTAATCACCATAGCAACATGATGAGTAGCCAGTTTATATATTTAAGCTCACAACAGAAAAATTATTTGGCATCATATAATTTAAACTAATTTCCGCCTATAAAACGTACATACAGACTGGATACAATCACTCAAAGTAAAAATTATTGCAACTATTTATGGATCTAATCATTACATTTGTGTAATACAAGTGGTATGAACATTAATCAATCCAAGTATCTCTAATCAACATACAGATGTCTGCCAGAAATACATGTCTCATACAGTGAATTTAATACTACAGAGTTAGCTGTATTCTCAGGCAATTCTAAAACAAATGCTCGAGGAGATTTGGCTATATTATAGTAAAAAAGAAGATGGGCAAAAAAAATAGCTAAGAAACAAACCTTGTCAAAGGGTACAGTCTACACAGATTTTACCTCTAAAAGCACTTTAATGATTCCTTACACAAAGACGTTCAACTTAAAACAAATGGAAATAAGTTTAGGTATACTGTATCATTTCAGAAATTGCACAGAAAAGGCAGCAAATTCTATTCTTTGCAGGGACTAAAATTTTTCAACAGAAATAAAGACAAATGAACGTAAGTAGTAAGGCAAGTTGCTGTTGTTCAGCCTGGGAATTATGAGGCTTCAGCATGATCTTACTGTGGCCTTTCTATATAAAAAGTGGGCTTAGAAGAAAAATGAATAAATTGTTTACCAAGGCCAGCAGTGGCAGGACAAGGGGTGATGGTTTTAAACTGAAAAAGGGTGTATTTAGTGCAGGCATACAGAATTGACTTTTTTATGATGAGAGTGGTGAGACACTAGAACACGTTTGCCCACAGAAGTGGTGGACCCATCCCTGGAAATGCTCCAGGTCAGACTGGGTAGAGATTTCAGCATCATGGTCTAGTGAAAGGTGTCCCCATCCATGGCTGGGGGCCAAGGGTACAACTACATGATCTTGAAAGGCCCCTTCCAACCCAAACCTTTCCATGATTCCACAGAGAGGGCATTAAAAGCAGCTTCAACTTGTATGAATCTAAGCACAATTAAAGAACAGAAGGGCAAATGGCTTTCCTTACAGTGTGTAAGCTGGCATTAGTTACAGGTCTTGACAGAGCTTCATTTTTGTTATGAGATTCAGCTGGCAAATGTAGCAGACTCGACTCCTGCAAATCACTAAGCTTTAGTACTCTACAGCCTCTGAATGAAACATCAGCTCTATCGATGCTACCAACGTTTGAAGGCTACAAACATAATCCAAGTGTGCAATTCCAGATCGTCTTTTTGTTCCAAAATCGCTTGTTAAGAAGTTAGAAATGACAGCACAGGGACCAGCATGGCTGAGCTACCTGAGCAGGGGAGTTACCACTGCAGCTGCTGAAGCCCTCTGAGCCAGTGTATGGCTGCAGAAGGAAGGTAGTTCAAGTTTGTCTCGACATGTGCACCTGTACTGTGATCCAGCAATCTCAGCACTCAGACTGAAAAAGGAGCTCTGTTGGTCTCATTTGAGCCCTTAGATGAAAAAAAAAAAAAAAAAAAAA